CGAAGGAAATGGTTCTGTGGGAATGGATAGTCAGGCTAAGTTACCTGGGTCTGCTGGATTTCCCGAAGGAAATGGTCCTGTGGGGATGGATGGTCAGGCTGGGTTACCTGGGTCTGCTGGATCTCCCGAAGGAAATGGTCCTGTGGGAATGGATAGTCAGGCTGGGTTACCTGGGTCTGCTGGATCTCCCGAAGGAAATGGTCCTGTGGGGATGGATGTTCAGGCTGGGTTACCTGGGTCTGCTGGGTCTCCTAAAGGTATCAGATCTGGATCAAAGGGCCATATGGTGCTGAGCTGTGGAATACAGTGGGTGATGATGGCAATGGGTGATGAGGCTCAAATAACCTGGTCCATTGGGCCTCCTGTGGAAAAGGGATTTGTGGTAATGGATGGTCAGACTGGGTCTACTGGGTCACCTGAAGGAAAGGGTCCTGAGGGAATGAATGGTCAGGCTGTTTTACATGGGTCTGCTGGGTCTCCTGAAGGAAAGGGTTTTGTGGTAATAGAAGGTCAGACTGGGTCTACTGGGTCTCCTGAAGGAAAAGGTCCTGTGGGAATGGATGGTCAGGCTGAGGTAATTGGGTCTACTGGATCTGTGGAAATGGCCGGTGGTGCAATTGTAGCTGCGTCTGGTTCTCAAGAACAAAATGTCCCAATTGAAGGTGAGACTTTTTTGTAATTCTCTCGCAAAGCTGCGACGATAATGTTGGAAAATATCTGTACAAGATAACTCATTAGATTGTGTCACGTATAAATAATAAAAAAAATGTGCTTATCACCTTCATGGAAATGGGGGGTATTGTCTGTGGTCTCTCTGGGACCCAGCAAACTTGAGACACAATAATTGCTCGCGTTTGATGGCAGTTGTTAACAGTCCAAGGTGTTCCATCGCGCAGGAATACCCAGTGTTTCTAGTTCATAACGATGTATGCAAAGATAGATAATACTGTCTGATTCAGAAATTTAAAAAAAAAAGATCTATTGGTTGAGATATCATGTTTTTTGCCAACAACCCAACACCGGTTTATTTTCTCAAAATTTTAAAATAAAGGAATTTTTTGCCCGCCTTGTTTTTTTCCGACCAATCGCATAAATTAATTTTAGATTCTGCAGAGGATATTATCAATAAAATTGATATGATATGGCCTAAAGAATTAAAAAAAAAGAAATTCACATCACTAAATGCTAGCATTTAACGTAATATCATTTTTTTTCGTTTTTTTTTTCAAATCTTTATTTGCCGTATGAATTCCGTTCTTAGAGTGCCTGGTGGAGAACAACAAGCGACAGGATTGCGGCTGGCCAGGCATTACTCAAACGGAGTGTCATCGCCGAGGATGCTGCTTTAATAACGTACCGTCTAAATCTACCTGCTGTTTTTTCAGGCAAGGTGAGGCGTGTTCTCAGTCATGCTTACCTCCATAAGTCGAGGTGTTTTTGTGTTTCTGTTTTTTTGTTTGTTTGTTTTGTGTGTGTGTGTGTGTGTGTGTGTTTGCTTGCTTTTGTGACCATAAGTAACGGTAGAATCACACGACACCATGTATTTTGGGGAAATCTGTAACCACAGACTAACAGTAATGCTGTTGAATTTGAGGTCAAAATGGCCTGCCCAAATCAGCCAAAATTTTTAACATTTAGTGACATATGAAAAAGCTAACTATTGGACTATAATCCATTAACTGAGTATAGCCTGTTGTGTCCCAAACCGTGCCTTTCCCAAACCGTGCCTGAGCGGACACAGAGCGGGACACAGCTTGACTGTCCAGAACCGTGCCCGAAAGTGCTGATCGGCGGGACAGGCATTAGGTTTAGGACAAGGCCATCTTGTGTCCAGAACTGTGTGATATCCGAGGCACGGTTCTGGACAATTAGTTTATCTAGACGTTAATTTGCTCCGGTCTGTCGAGGATACGCTTCCAGGCTTGGTGAATAAACACAGTGTTGTTTCCGGTTCCAGGGCCGTTCTTGGGTCATTTTAATTTCTTGGTTATACTACGTGCTGTCTTGTATGAAGAACCGTCTCAGATGGGCCAAGCTTTAAGAAACTGATAGAACCTTATTCATTTTAGTGCAGAATAATACATTACACACTGTTTTAACACTACATGTATGCCTAAATCACCTTAGACCAGCTCAAAAAGTCAAGGTACTTTAATACAGAGCAATAACTACACCGATTCCTTCTTATCTTATTCTTGTCCCGACGAAAAAACAAATGTGTCGGCTTAAAACAACAACACGAGAAGGCTCCTTCCTCAAAACACTAAGCTCCGCCCCCAAAGCACGGAATGGGACAATGCCCTTGTGTGTCCAGAACTGTGCCCGGTCAGGCACGGTTCGAGACAGTCCCCGCGTGTCCCAGAATGTAATGTAGATTTGCCCCAAGCACGGTTTGGGACACCCACCGTGTGTCCCAAACCATACCCACGCACGGTCTGGGACAAGGCACAGTTGGGACACAACAGTGCTCTTCCGTTAACACCCATGTGTGGGGACGCCTGAGAAAGAACCCCTAGATTCAAAGGACAATTTCGTAGGAATAGAACCATGATAGTATTTTAAGTGGTATGTCTTATTTCCGATTATTTTTTTATTGAGCATAAAGCGCTTCGTTACACAAAGCTGCG